CTGGAGGCCAGGAACTCTGCTAAACATCCTGCAAGTGCATAGGACAGCTTCCACAGCAATGACTCATTCCCTCTAAATGTCACTAGTGCTGAGGTTAAAAAACTCTGGTCTAACCAAACTTTCTACCGCCACAAAAAGATCCTGGATATTGTAATTTATAAGTTGCCTCACTGTGTGAGGAAATTTAGTTTAAATTTAAACTACTGACAATGAGTTAAAAACATTTCACAGAATGACTCATTGGAGAGTTATTTGTAAACAAAATAGCTCTTGATTCCTTTCAGTTTTTAAATTTTAAGAGATATTTTTTCCTAAATATGAAAGTGGACTTCTGGATTGTAATTCCTTCAAGGTTTCTGGAAATAACTTTTATGATTTAGTCTTTTGAGGGAAGGACGAACATTAGAGACTGAATTAATGCTATCTCAGATGAGACCTGTTCCTACAAACCTATTCCCCTGCTCCACTAGAAAGAAAAGAAATTCGTTATTGAGATGTCACTTACATTAACTTTAGTGTGAAGATTGTCCTCTTCTCAGTGCACTCTGAGTACGGTTTCTAATGCAAGGATAGGATTTCCCCAATAATTGCCCACATGGAAATCAAAACATTAAAAAGTATGAGGAACAAGGTATAGACCCTATTCATTGTTTAGTTTCTTTGCCTTTTGTGCCCAAAGAATATAGCTTTGCCCATCTGAGAAACTCATTAGTGAGAGAAGAGAAATTTTAAGCACTTCCTTGAAAATGGGACATGTTTGCTGTTTTTGGAAAATACCAGCCTGGTAAAGATCAAATTCAGTAAAGGGCAAAGCTACCAAAGTAAAATAACCTGGTCATTTGATTTCAGAGGCCCTCGGTAGGAATTTGTACTTTCCCACCTCCATGCCCCTTTAATTCCCATGGATCAACCAACGTCATGTGGTGGTCTTAGGAAGCCCAAAGAAAACCCAAGTGAAACCAACAAATATTTAATGTGGATTGTGAGCCAGGAACTGTGCAAGGTTCTTCAGAGGCATTAGTTACTCCAGAGGAATTTCAGAAACTACAACTAGGTTAATGTAAAAAAAAAAAAAAAAAAAGCTTTGTTGAAAAATTTTCTGGTTTAAACTCACATTAGTCCAAATTTGGATTAATAATAGACTTTTTAAAAAATGTTGGGGCACTCTCAGAGTTGCTGTCTTATTTCCGAATTATCCTTTATCCTGCTCCCATTTTTACAAGGCTGTGATTTCCTTGGAGCAAAGCCTCTTTTTTTTTTTTCAATTAATTTTGTCGGTACATTTAATGTATACAATATAATGACAATCGTTAGAAATTTATACCTTTACATTATCAATCTTGGTTCTTATTTTTCCCCATTCCCCTGTCCTCCCTTCAACCTCTCACTCCCACCCTTTCTACAAATACTTTATTTCCATTATTTTTCATTTTCTCATATTATTCCATCCTCTTCTTTCCTTTCCCCTGTCCCTCCCATTTCCCCTTCCACGCTGTCTCTTTTCTTCCTATTTCACATTCTCTGTGACACCTTTTACCCCTTATTTACACTTTCAGTTTCTCATTATTCGATATTTACACATGTACTATTTATATCACTTAATAGTATCACCTCAGTGTGCAGACTTTTGGCTATAAATGTCCCTAGTTGCTCCTTTTTTATGGCTGAGTAGTATTCCATTTCTTTTTTTAAAAACACATTTTTTTTTTTGTCCAGTCTCCCATTGATGGGCAATTGGGCTGCTTCCAAGTTTTAGCTATTACAAATTTTGCTGCTATGAACATAGGTACACATATATCACTATGGTGTAATTCTTTTAATTCTTTAGGGAAGATATCCAGCAGGGGAATAGCTGGATCAAATGGGACCTCCAATCCTAGGTCTTCAAGGTGTCTCCATACTGATTTCCACAGTGGTTGCACCAGTCTACACTCCCACCAGCAGTGGAGCAGGGTTTCTCTTTCCCCACAGCCCTGCCAGTATTTGTTATTGGTTGATTTCATGATATCAGCCATTCTTTCTTGGGTGAGGTGGAATCTCTGCATTGTTTCCATTTGCATTTCTTGACTGACCGGTGAGGTTGCACATTTTTTACTATGTTTATTTGCTATTTCTACTTCTTTAACTGAGAAATAGCTGTTCATTTCAGATGCCCATTTTTTTTATCGGGTCTTTACATATAGGAGACCTGAGTTTTTAAAAGTTTTTTATATATTCTAGATAGTAGACCTTTGTCTGGGGAACAGCTGGCGAAATTTTTTTTCCCACATTGTGGGTTGTCTTTTCACACTGTTGGTGGTTTCCCTTGCAGTGGAGAAGCTTTTTAATAAGAAGACATCCCACTTGTTGATTGTTTGTGCCAGTTCATGGGCAACTGAGGCTTTGTTCATAAAATCTTTTCCTACACCAATGTCTTCAAGAGTTCTACCTAACCTCTCTTCCAGCCAGTTTAGTGTTCCTGTTTTAATATTTAGATCTTTAATCCATCTTTGTTTTAGTTAGCATGGTGAGAAATATAGGTCTAGTTTTAATCTTTGGCAAGTTGAAACCCAGTTTTTCCAGCACCATTTATTAAAGAGGCTCTCTTTTCTCCATTGAGGGTGTTTGGCTCCTTTCTCAAAGACGAGATGGCTGAATGTGCCTGGAGCTGTTTCTGCATCTTCTCATCTCTTCCCCTGGTACTCAGGTATGTTTCTTTGCCATTACCATGCTGTTTTTAATCACAGTAGCTTTGTAGAATAGTTTAAAGTAGGGGATAGTGATACCCCCTACCTTCTTTTTATTGCCTAAAATTGCTTTTGTTATTCTAGGTCTCTTCTTGTTCCAAATGAATTTTTGGATTGTTTTCTCAAGGTCTGTGAAGTATGCTCCTGGGATTTCAATTGGAATGCCATTGAATCTATATAGCAGTTTTGGAAGTATGGCCATTTTCATTATATTGGTTCTTCCTACCCAGGAGCAAGGGGTGTCTTTCCATTTTCTGATATCCTCATCCACCTCTTTTTTAAGAATTCTATCGTCTTCAGAGTAGAGGTCTTTCATTTATTTTGCGAGGTTGATGTCTAAGTATTTCAATTCTTTGGTTGCTGTTGTGAAAGGAATTCGTTGCCCCATTTCTCTCTCAGTGAGTCTGTTTTTCATGTACAGAAAAGCTATTTTTGGTGTTAACCTTGTAGCCCTTTACTGGATTTGGTAACTAAGTCTAGAAGACTTTTGGAGTTCTTGGAGTCTTCTATGTAGAGTATCATGTCATCTGCAAACAATGACAGTTTGACTTCTTCATTTCCTATCTTCATTCCTTTTATTTCTTTCTCTTATCTAAATGCTGTGGCTAATGTTTCCAAAACCGCATTGAACAGGGGTAGTGATAGTGAAATCCTTGTCTTGTTCCTGATTTTAGAGTGAAGGCTTTCAGTTTTTGACCATTTAATATGATATTGGTTGCTTGTTTTTCATAGATAGCTTTTATCAGATTGAGGTGGAGACTGTCTATTCCAATTTTCTGTAGGGTTTTTATCATGAATGAGTGTTGGATTTTGTTGAATGCTTTTTCTGCATCTATTGAGATGATCATATGGATGTATCTTTGGTTCTATTAATATAGCATATTACATTTACTGATTTGCATATGTTGAACCATTCTTGCACTCCTGGGTTGAATCCCACTTGTTCAGGGTGTATCATCCTCCTGATGATCTTCTGCTTTCTATTTGTTAATAATTTATTAAGGATTTTTGATCTCTGTTCATTGTGAAATTGTCCTACAGTTATCTTTGGTTGGATCTTTCTTTGTTTTGGGAATCAAGGTGATGCTTGCTTCCAGGAATGAATTTGGGAGTATTCCTTCCCTTTCAATTTCATTGAAGAGTTTAAACAGTAGTGGCAGTAGTCCTTCTCTAAATGTCTTACAGAATTCAGTAGTGAAGCCACCAAGGCTCAGGCATTTCTTAATCAATAAGTTTTTAATTACATTTTCAATTTCATTAATTGACATTGGGTCATTTAGAATTTTTAGGTCATTTTCATTCAACTTCAGTAATTCATATGAATCTTGGTATCTGTGACTTTCTTCTGTATTTTCCATCTTATTGGTGTAAAAGTTCTCAAAGTAGGTAGTGATGTTCCTCTGGATTTCTGCTGGGTCGATTGTAATTTCACCCATTTCACTCCTAATTGTCTAGATTTGGGCCTTTTTTCATAAGATCGGCTAAGAGTTTGTCAATTTTGCTTATTCTTTTGAAGAACCAACACTTGGCTTTGTTGATCTTTTTGTATCATTCTCTTAGTCTCCCTTGCATCGATTTCTATGTTGATCTTTATGCTGATGATTGATCTTTTATGATTGATCTTTATGCTGCTGATCTTTATGCTGCTCTTTTTCTAGGAGGTTTGAGATTCAGCATCAGGTTGTTTTATTGTGCTTGCTCTGTTTTCCTAACATGTGAATTCAGTGCTATGAATTTCTCCCGTAAGACTGCTTTCATTGTGCTCCATAGATTCCGATATATTGCATTGTCATTGTCAGTTAATTGTAGGAACCACCTGATATCTTCTTTATCATCCCCTTGACCCATAGTTATTCAGAAGTGTGTTGTTCAATTTCCAAATGTTTGTGAAGTTCTTGTGGTTTCTTTTGCTATCAATCTCCAATTTCATCTCACTGTGGTCTGATAATACGCAGGGGATCATTTCAATTCCCTTGCTCTTACTTAAACATGTTCTTGTTTTATCAAATAATAAGAATATTTTGTTCAATGTTTTAATATTGAAGTCAGCTATCATACATATCCATCAACACTTATTGTCTGTATCCCAGCATATATTCAAAGTAAGATTAATTTGATGCAGCATGCTTAGCAAATCTAGAACATCATACTCCACCTTTAAATTCACTCAGCTCCTTTCATAAGATTCTTCTTATTCATTGTGTTATACTATGTATGAAATAAATTAGTGCAATACATCATTTAACAGGTAAATACCATATACATGGGGATTTGTCATCCAAATCCTTGGCACTCAATAATATAAGTGTCTTTAGATGCATTTTCTTCATCTTCTGACTTTGTCACAATGAATTTAGCCTTTGCTAGTTGCTCAGCAAAATGAATAGCTATTTGTGTATGGAGTATAACAGGTCCTGTTTTTATTCTGGAAACTCCATTCGCTAACACCATGAAAACAACCAGCTGGTCTTGCAGATACTTGTCCACACTATCCCCTGTCTAAGATTTGCTAATAGCATTTTGGCAGCTTTGATTCCAACCTTGTCTGCATTAGCACCCCATTTAGATGATCCAGCAAACAAACAGCCAGTAGATGTCTCAGCAGTAATGATTATTCCATTTCCATTGCCAAACTCTTGGTCCTTGGATTCCTGGACAGCCTGAATGTTCACATATAGGTCCCTAATCTCCTTTCGGATGCATCGTACAGCAGCCACTACCATATCTTTTGCTACTTTAAATGGCAAAAGACCAGCAACAAAAGCTCTTCCATCTCTCTTAGTCACGGAGCCACGATCAGTTCAATTTATTGGATTCATTTGTTTTATTGGTGACATTTGAATGATCACTACACCACCCCCTTTTGGGTAATGGTAATAGCCCCTTGTTTTAATGTCACAATTAAGTTTGAAATCAAATTTTTCAAAAATTGGCTTGAATACCAGCACTGTGTAGTCAATCTGTGGTGCCATCTCAATATTAGTGTCACCTTTCAAATGAATTTCTGATGGAGCAACAGCAAAGAGAACACAGGGCATTGAAACCTGCATCAAGAGGCATATACTTCCTGCTGTCTTGATATCTGCTGTGTGGACTTTGCCTTTGATCTTCTCTGGCATAAAGGTTATTTTTGTTGAGGAAATTTCTGCCCCCTCCAGTTGACCATCACACAAATCTCCAATCATTTCCAGTCCAGATAAATGTGGAGGCCTCAGGCCTGGGGTGCTGCAACATGCACAGATCTTCTGCACCTGCAATGGGAGTCCCAGGAGACAGCTCAGGGCTGTGGAGACCCTGGGGATCTGGCCACCTGCCTCCAGGATCCTGCCAGCCTCCTCCACCCATGGCCCCATCATGGGGGGGGTGTCCTGGGCCCAGCCCCACAGGGACAATGCCTTCTCTGAAGAGTGAGTAGAAAGAGGCATTGGTTCCCACTCGACAATGCTAAAATCTTGGCCCACACTTAGGCCTCAGGGTTTAAGGGAAGAGGGAAAAAGAGGGGTCACCAGACCTCCCCAACAATGACATGGAGGCCCCAGTTCCCAAGGCTGCAGAGTCAAGTGTGTAGTCTTTTTTGAAGAATGGCCCATGTGCAGCTGAAAAGAATGTGTATTCTGATTTTGTGGGGTGGAACACTGTAAACATCTGTTAAGTTCATTTGTTCAAGAGTTTGAGTTCTAGTATTTAGTTGTTTATTTTCTGTCTAGTTGATCTATTTGTGACAGTGGGGTATTGAGATCTTCCATTACTATGTATTAATAATTATTTGATTGTTCATGTCCTTTAGTATTTGTTTTATATAATTGGGTGCACTAGTGCTTGGTGCATATATATTCAGGATTGTCATCTCTTCCTCTTGGATTTTCCCTTTACAAGGATGTAGTGACCTTCTTTGCCTCTGTCAATCAGTGTTGGTTTGAAATCCACTTGATCTGCAAAGAGTATAGCTACTCCTGATTTTTTTTGCGGGGGGATCCTTTTGCATGGAGTATTGTTTTCCACCCTTTAACTTTTAGTCTATTAGTTTCCTTTTGAATTAAGTGTGTTTCTTATATATAGCATATTGTTGGATCTTGCTTCTTGACCTATTATTCCAATCTATTTCTTTTGATTGGTGAATTAAGACCATTAACAATGATGGCTATAGCTGATATGTATTGACTTATCCTTTTCATGGCTTTTTGCTTTTGTTGGATTCTCCCCATTTGTATTTAATTTTTTGTCATGCCTGGTAGATTTATTCTTCTGGGATTCCTGGGGTTGTGATCCCTGTTATCATTTCCTAGGATATTGTTTAAAATTTTTTGGAGTGCTGGTTTAGTGTTCATGAAGTTCCTAAGGGGCTCCTTGTCATTAAAGTATCTTATTTCTCCATCAATTTTGAAAGATAGTTTTGCAGGGTATATCAGTCTGGGTTAGAGGGTATTTTCCTTTAGGGTTTATAATACATCACCCCAAGCTCTTCTTACTTTGAGGGTTTGTGTTGAGAAGTCTGCTGTAATTCTGATAGGCTTTCCTTTGTATGTGATTTGTTTATTTTCTCTAACAGCTCGTAAAATTTTGTTTTTCTGTTGGATTTCTGGAATCTTAACTATTATATGCCTAGGTGTAAATTTTTTTTTGATCATGGCTAGTTGGTGTCCTATATGCATCACTTATCTGTATGTCAAAATGTTTTCCCCTACTTGGGAAGTTTTCTGGCTTTACTTCTGTGAACAGTTTTTTTTTTTAATGTCATCTGCACTCTCTCCTGTTTCTTCATTGACTCTAATCAGTCTTATATTATTCTTATGTCCATCATTTAGCAGATGTTGGATTGATTTCTCATGGTCCCTTACTATTTGTAAGAAATTTTTCTTTTCCTGGTCACTAATTACAATCCTATCTTCTGTACCTGAAGTTCTGTCTTCACATTGGCTCGTTCTTCTGTGTAAACGTTCAATGGATTTTTAATCTCCTGGAAATTTGTTTGAATTTGTTTTATGGATTCTATTTGTTTCCTGTGTTGGGATTCCATCACATTCCTTGGCTCCTCTGTTTTTTTATCTCTGTCTGCTCTAGATTTATTATCATGTCTTGCACTATGGGCACAATCTCTGCTGTTATTTGAGAAATTATTTCTGACTTCATTTTTTCCAGATGCTCTTTAGTTGCTAGTTCAGGCAGTCTAGGTGTTGATTATTAGATCGTTCTATCTCATTTCCCTTTAGGGTTGTGTTAGGTGATCTGGAAGTCTGGTTTTGGGACTTGTTTCTGTGTCTTCTCATTTCAACAGATGCATCCTACTGTGCCTTTATTGAGACAACTTTTAGCTCACCCAGTGTCTTCAATTCTCAACAAGCCACCAAGATGCCTTTTTTCTGCTGCTTACCAATTCCTGGGTGCAAATCACCAATGCTATGGGGTAGGCCTCTGACTCAAGCTTGTGTGCCTGTGCAGCTCTTTTCTGGGTGGTCTTGGCTGGGCAGGTTTTCCCTAGCCTTTGGGATCAGGGTGGATCCCTGACTGGGATCTGCCTGCAGCTGCACTGGTCTGGACTGGAGCAAAGCCTCTCAAAGGCAAGCAATTTATCTGCAGCTATCATGCCTAGGAGAATGCCTGGCTTATGGTAAGGCCTCACAGATTCCTTTTGAATTTTAATCTCAACATAGGTGGATGTTTTACATGATCCTTGAAATACAGAAGATTATATAGTGCATAATATACATCAACTTAATTTATGCACCATATACCAAGACGAACAACATCCAGTGGGTGCCAAAATATAGAGAGACTAACTGCCAGAACAGTATTTCAGCATGGTACTGGTGAACAGGGCAGACTTAATGTTTGTTCATGTGGTCTTCATACATGGAAGGGCCTCATAAAAAGCAAAATTGTATATTTACACAGGTATTCAGCCAAGATTTGCTGGCAATGCCTGTGTCTTGAGCAGCACCCTCTGATGCCCCTGTGGGACCCTACACTTCCCCCAAGTAATGTCTGGTCCTTGAATAGGACAAGTCAGCACTTTGATTGGAAGGAGACTTGTAGGACATGGACAACTGAGACTTCTTAAGCAGTAGGTGCAATGTATGCAACCTATAACTGAGGCTGAAAAGAAATAGTGAATAAATTTTGTAGAAATAATCATGTTTTTTAAATGAGAAGAGTTAATACATGACTCCCTAACCTTTTATGAGTAACTCTGATGTTTACGCATTGCTATAATTGAGTTGTCTAATTGAGACTCCAACTGCATCCTCAAGATGTACCACATTTCCTTTGCTTCCTATCTTTTAGCCATGTTTTCATTTCAGTTGAGCATGTATCATGTTACTATGTCATTTACTGGAATAAGATACCACCTTTACCTTGGAGAAGCCATCTGAAAAAGACAGAAATCTCTTACTGTTAGGATGATAATGAAAAACATAACAATGAAAATAATAGCTAACATCTATTGAGTTCCTACCAAATGCCAGACACTGTGGTAGGTACTTACAGTTTAGAATAACTCTTTGTATTTGGGCTTCTGAGATAAAGGTCCTACCCCTACTTGACTAATGGTTCTTTCCAAGGGTCATCACCCTATACTGATAAGAGAACTGGAAGTGAGATTTGGCAACAACATAGCAAGCATCACACTAAGTGGCCTTACCTATGCAGTCTATTTCAAATAAGCTCGTGAATCATAAATGTTTGGTAAGAAAGCAATATGTCCATCCAAACTTAATGATTAGAACAACAAACAAATAAGTACATCATGGTCTTCTCATTCAGTTAAATATTTATGGACCATATACTTTGTGCTGGACACTGGTTTAACCCCAGACCTATACAAAAAACGAAACAAAACAAAACAAAAAATCGCAGTCCTCAAGATCTAACATCTCATTAGGAAAAAAGACATATGGTAATCAGAAAAAAAGCAATTATTTTATATAATAATAAGTCCAGAAAAGAAAGGAAAATGGGCCCATGTGATGGAAAAGTGCCACTTAGTAGAGGACAGGAAGAACCAATTGAGAACAAATGATCAAAGGAGGCCCACCAGGAAGATAATACTCCAGCCAAGAGAGACAGTGTCTCAGAGATCAGATGGAAGATTTTTGCAGAAGGAGGCTATGTATACATAAAGCCCCAGTGTGGCCCAATATATTAAGAGTATAGTAGCAGAGAATGAAGACAGAGAAGATCAACAGGGGATGGCACACAGACTGTGAGTTACACTGAGGAGCTAGGAAACCATTGTGGGGTCTAAATAAGGAATGTGACATAAATCTGTTTATGTTTTAAAGAGATCGCCCAGGATGCCTGAAGTCTGCTGTTCCAGATGGTCAAATAAAAGTGACTATAATTCTAAAGGCCAATCTTTATTCATTTACCTCAAAAACACTAACTGCTTTGCCAACCCCTGAGGCTACAATGCTGAATAAAATATTCAGCATTCCTGCCCTCATAAAGCTTAGAGTCTCCACAGGTTCACAGTTCCACAAGTGGATAAGTTATTTCTGGGTCCTTCCATGGTGTTGGGGAGGGACAAAGTTCAGTGACTATTGGGGACATAGCCAGGACACTATACTCAGGTATAAAGTGACAGACACCTCTTATGGAAAAGTGACTTCTGAACTTAGATAGCATGGTTACTAGCAGTCATCTGCATGAACCAAGAGAGTCGAGACAAAAAGATTTTATGACAAAGAAAATATCATTTCCAACATCCGAAGAGAGAAGCTGTCTTAATGGACCTGGGACAGTGACTTAGCAGAGCAGGCAGGAGCAGAGTTTAGGAGTGATCTAAGAGAAGTTGGAGAGGGAACTGGCTACATGTGGGTTGCAAGTGCTGAAAGCAGCCATGGCAGAGCAGGACCTGCACATCCTCATTCAACAGGGCCAGAGGAAGCTTGAAGAAAAGAATGCAGGCACAGGAGAGAGCAACATCTAAGGGTTTCTGTGGCTACGCAGTTGCTTTAGCATTCCAAGTGTCCTTTCCCCACCTTCCAGAATTTTCTTCCAAACACTCTGGCATGAGGATGGTATGGGGAAGCTGCTTGAGCCACTCGGTAGCCCATGGGCAGGTAGGTCCACAGAGCTGAACAGAGGTGGTTCTCAGTCAAGTGCCCAGAGGAAGGAGATGGTGCTGTCTGTGGCCCCACACATAGTTGCAGATAGCTGTCTGCACAGCTCAGTGGCCACATCCCATCAGCCTCTCCCTGACAAGCAGCACCCTGCTCTGCCAGGTGTGCGTGATGGGAGCTGTGGACTAGCAGACAGGTGCATGAGCAGTGGGCTCCAAACTGACAGGAGACAGAGTTGGGACTATTGAAAGTGAATACTTCAAAACAGAGCAAAAATCTATGCTCTTTACTAATCC